ACACTATATATATATATATATATATATATATATATATATATATATATATATATACAAAATGACTTTCCCAATGTGAATTCTCAATTCTCACTTCAGTTTGCTTTCAGTTTTAGTTTGGCTTCAACTTGACAATATTTTTAGTTATTGGGTCGTCAAATATGGGACCATTACTCCCATTTCCTTCCAAGAAGACAACCAATAGCGACAGATGAGAGAATATCAGATATGACACCAATCTAGATCATTAGAGCACAAAAGGTCTAAAAGAAATGTTGGCATTGTGCATTAAACATAAAAAAAAGATTTATAGAAATTTAAGGAAAAATAGAAGACTGGGGTGAGAGAGAGAAAGAGAGAGAGATTTTAATGCAAACAAAGAAAGAGCTCACTTTAGATGGTGAGTGAAAGATAGCTCAATATATTCTAAAAGAACATTGAGATAGCATAAAGTAAACTAAAAGCAAACACATGCACTCACACAACATGCTAATCACTATCATAACCACTAGATTAATGCATACAAAGAAGGAGCTCACTTTAGATACTAAGTGAAAGATAGCTCAATACATTCTAAAAGAATATTGAGAGAGCATAAAATACACTAAAAGAAAGCACACACACACAGAGCTATGCTAATCACTATCATAACCACTAGATAGTAAAATATAGTTTTTCGGGCTGCATCAAATCAAACTGTACAGTATTGGTGATGATCCTAGATGGGCTACCTGATTGCCGGCCCATAAACATTCTTACATGAATTTATTTATTCATATACATAAATTTTCATTCCAAGATTACAAAACCAAACAATTATGGCACTCCAGAGACAAACTGTTCTGGCACAAAATTTGTTCTTTTCAATCCCAATTCTAATAAATTACATCAAAACAGGGCAATATAGAAGCCTGCAATTGAATCAAATCTACCACAAAAGCCATCCACAGTTACTTCTTGGTTCTTTTTTACTCTCCTTGCAATCAGCTGACAAACCAACATTGCCTCACCTCCCCCAAGGGAAACATGACCAAGTCTAACGGGTGATAGCAGAAAAACAAAGTTATTTCTTTTGAGGGAAAAATTACTTCAGCAGGCGTCACATAACATCATTCATATAATAATATCAAACACAAGGCATAAGATAGACCATTAAACTATGATGATAAAACAAAAAGCCAAAATATAACAATAAAATCTCCATATAAGTTATGCTTTAGCAAATAAATCTTTTCAGGAGTATTTTTGCAATAACATCATTGAATTATCAGTCGCATCCTCATCAACATTTCTATTAAGTGAAAGCCAACTTCATTAAAGTGTGCCATTTCAAAACTTTTTTGATTTGGCAGCATGAGTTCATCACTATTTTCCATATGTAATGGATCAAATAGCTTTAGTGCCATTTCAGTCAGATGAAAATTTATCTATAGAAAATAGTGTAGACACATCATTTGCACTTTGTTTTTACATGAGGTGGTTGTTTTATCACCCTCATGTCATGTAAACATCCATTTAATGTGTTCTTTTTCTTTTGACACCTTTTTAAATGAGGTGTTACAAAGGTTTGCCTCTCCCTCTCATTTTAATCGAATTCTCTCTACCACTAAGGCCCTTTACGGGCTCAATTAAAGTAAGGGGCCTTTCTGTTAGCGGGAAGCCTTACAGTGAACTCTTTCTCTTTCTCTCTCTAAGTTCATAGGCTATCTCCCTCACTAATTTTGATAGAAGTTATGGATGATTTTCTCTCAATGAACTAGATTACTATCTTGTGACATCACGAAGTGAGTGATTGATTTTGTTAAATGTACGATTTTGTTTTGCTCTCTAAGTGCTTTGTTGCCATTCGGTAAGTTTTTTGAATTTAACATAATTTATATAATATTTTTCCATGTGTTATGTACCCAATCGATATTTGTATTTTACCGATTGGAAGAATAATTTTTTAGTAAGAGAGATGCTGCTCCCCATCGATGTTTCATTGTAGTATACCGATTGGAAAATAGACTTTGTATTAAGAGATAGAAGTTTGTCATCGTAATCGATGTTTATATTATCCTGATTGGATGATGAACTTTGTAGCGAGAGAGAGAGTTTGTCATCCTAATCATTGTTTGTATTATATCGATGGGATGATGATTTTTGTAGTAAGAGATAAATTTGTTTCTAAATTGATGTCTGTAATATCATATCAAGTGGAAAGACGTATCATTATTTTTGTGATTGTGGTTTATATGGGTCTTATGAGTGTGCAACTCAAAGACTCAAGATTTGTATTCCGATCTGGCTATATCCTGAGAGTGTAATCGTCGGGATCTTTTTACACCTCGAAATTTTATCGAGACGGGAGCGCTTAGCACTTCAAAAAAAAAGATAGCATCTCATGCCTCTAGATCCCCTATTTTGGTCCCAATTATGTGGGAGTTTATGTCCATATGTTTTGTCAGCCACGGTGAAACCCCATACAACCAACAATTAGAGGGAGAGAGAGAGTAAACGTTACTTTCATGTTATTAGCGAGAGAGAGTGAGCCCGCTCTTTCTAATGTGTGTGTGAGAGAGAGAGGGAGAGAGAGAGGGCGGAGAGAGAGTCTCTAATAGGAATATTTTATGGTCATTAGGAGGGGTGTGATATCTAACTGCCACCCAAAGATTCTTAGTAAAAAAGATAAGGATGTCTGACTACTTGTTTAAAATTTTGCTGGCATATTAGAATAATACAAGCAAATATCAATGATTTATCACATACTTTTAGATGTAGAACTTATGAAAACTTGAATATCTTGAAAATTGAGTCCAAAAATGCGTTACAAGATGCACTATTTTCAAAACTTGAAATCTATTTTTTCTCATGTGCATGCATCTTGATGTCGAGATGATCAATTTGAAGATATTTGGGCATCAAAACAACCTCTTCTCATTAAAGTTTTGAGGTGAACTCTAATTTGATTGTTTAGAGCCTCGGCTTTATATAAACATTTTCCGTATATATATATCAAGGTTTAAAAAATTGGATTGGTGACCTGGATCGTCCTTACCTATGCCCTTATTTGATCAGAGAATCGGCCGAATCAGCAAGTTTTATCCCAAAAAGTTTTCAAAAAATCACTATAGATCTCTAAAAATAATGTTCGTTTAGTTTTTAAAAGAAATTAAGAGTGGTGCATTATATACTTTCATTACTTTGTAAAAATAAGTGAATATCGAGAAGTTGTTTTCATGGCTTGATGTTTGTTACCCATTCATTCATTCACCACGAGTGCTTGCTCCAAGGAGGAAAAGAGAGATCATGTATTTTTTAAGTTGGGTATCCATACATCAATATAATTCCAAATTTGCGTTCCAACTTAGTTGTTATAAAAAACTAAATATTTCTCCCGTAAATCAAACTAGAGTAATAAGCCAGCATGCTCCAAATCAGAATAATGCTAATATAATATAAAATCAAATTGTAGGATAAGAATAAGATACTATGAAGTGAGCATGAAACAACACATTTTTACAAATATCCCATTTAAGAAATTTTAATTACGTATCATGGACGTATTATTGCATTTAAAAATTTGACAATAAAATTTGAAAAATGCAAGTTTTTATTTTGCATGATAGTTATACATCATGACATATAAGTAATCATAATTACAAGAAAATAGAAAAAATGTATTCTTACATTAAGATAAACAACAACAAACATACATTTTATGTATCAAGAAAAATTTAATTATGTATCAAGATTCAGGAACATACATTTCAGTGCATTAAAAAAATTGATGATAAAATTAAAAAATACAAGTTTTTTCTCATGAGAATTAGTAATTCATGACATAGAAATGAATATAATTACAAGAAAATCGAAAAAATGTATTTTTATATTGTGTCTCAAGAACAATTATTTGTCAAAATCCCTATTTCAAATCAGCAAATAAGATTAAAAGTAATTATTCAAAAATCCTAAATTGGATTTTAAACCATAGAGCATTTTAAAAAACGAATCCTATAAAAAAACAAAATGAAAAATCATGACATTACTGGATTTGAGAATTGAGAATACCAGGATTAAAATACATACCTAAATTGAATTTGAATCAAATTACAATGATGGAAATCAATGTTTTCGAGTTCCTGTGAAAATCACGATTTCATTAAACATCGACAACCAAACCTTGCTTAATCACACGAATAAGCACCGCTATCATTTGAAGATCGTCATTTTCTTTAAAACTCCGCTGATTTCATTCAAAATGGTGCCAAAAATCTCCTGAAATCAACAGATTGGCAGAAAAACCCGACCCCGTGAACTGTTCTATACAAAAGGGTGTCGAAAAATTGATATTTTGAAAAATCGAGCAACTATTGTTGTCAATCACGCAAAAGGACTACAAAATATTCTCTAAATACTCTTTTTTGAACAAACAAACCTCTGATAT